CCGAGCTCGGCGGTGCCACCCCTTGGGGTGTGGAGCATGGTCTTAGAAGCCCGGACTGGTTCGGGTAGAAGGGACCTTAAATCTCCTCCAGTTCCAACCCCTGCCACGGGCAGCCACACCTTCCACTCGAGCAGCTTGCTCCGAGCCCCTGTGTCCAACGTGGCCTTGAACACTCTCAAGTGCTGGGGGCACCTGCAGGCGGGACAGCTTCGTGCTGTGACCCCCCCAAGCTGGGCATCGAGTACCAAAGCCTTTAGTGGGGTGGTGCCCGGGGCTGCGCAGAGCTGGCTCTGCCCCTCACCCTTCCTGGGGTGCTGTGGCTGGTTGCTCCTTCCTTTGGGGGCACTCCAAGGAGCAGCCAGCAGCGGAGTCACCAGCCAAGAAGCGGCTGTGGGGTGGTGCTGCTGCTTAGCTACGGCCACATCCCGGCAGCACGTGATCAGATTGGCAATTTAATAGGGAGCCTTTCAGCCCTGCACACACCCTCCAGTTCAAGTGCCATTGAAATGGGAACCCGGAGTGCCCATGGCGGGAGCTGACCCCTCCCCATCCGCCACCTCCATTCCCAGGGAATGCGTGATGCTCAGTGCACATGAGAGGGCTCGCTGGGGGCGGGAAGGCGGTAGGCAGGCAAGAGAGGATGCTCGGGGCAGGTACATTTGTTGCTGGGGGCATGGACTGGCTGCGCTGTGAGGAGCTGAGCAGGAGAACACGTGGTGGAGCTCGGGCTGGGACCCCTGGGAAGCCCAAGGAAGACCTGGAACAGCAGTTGGTGACTGCTCCCAGGAAAGATCAGGGTGGTGGAGAAGCATCCCAGGGAGCGTGGAAGCCAGGGAGAGAGATGGTTCTGAGGGTCTGGGGACACAAGAGAGTGGTGGGAGCATCCCATCCCCATCGAGCTGGGGATTGGAGGTGCTGTACAGACAAAGGCTGCATGAAAAGCTTGTGGCCTGTGGATCAGGCCTGGCAAGAGGGACGGGTGCTCCTCGGGCTTTCTGGGAATGCTCAGGATCCAGAGGGTGCAAACACCAAAAGCAGCCAAGAGACACCCCGGGGGATGCAAACACCAAAAGCAGCCAAGAGACACCCCGGGGCTGGGATCCCTTTTCCAGGCAAGGTTCAAAAGGAAAACACAAGGAAGGGGTGGCTTTTTTTTTCCTCCGTGCTTGCTTATCCCTCTTTGCTAGGCAAAGGAATTGCCTGGCACAGAAGGGAAACGATGTTTTCTTTCCCCTGGTGCTATTGCCTGTTCAGATGGTACCCACTGGGGTGGATGTATCTGGCCTCCTCTGTACCTGGGATGTGCTGGCATTCCCACATCCCTCTACCTTGGGAGAATCACAGTCTTTATAAGCTCCCCAGTGCTTGCTGTTGCTTCTAAAAAGCTGGTGGCACTGTCTGGCTTCAAGTGGCTTTTACATAATACAGACTGTCAGGCCAGATGATCATCACGGTCCCCTCTGGCCCTCAAATCTCTGAATCTAAAAATGAGAGGGCACCAGCACCTACCTCCTTGCTTCTGGCTGATTGAATCCGGGGCATCACGTGTTCTCTTTATCCTCTCCTTTTCTCTCTCCCCTCCCTGCATCATCTTTAACTGAAGGTGCATTCTCCTTCCCCTGGTGCCCGGGGCTGGCAAATAACGTCGGAAGGAGCAGACCTCTCCAGCCTCGCGCTGGGATATTCTCCTCCCCAATCGCAGTGTTTCACTGGTGGGATCAGGGGTGCTCGGGCTTGGAGATGGCTGGATGGAAAACAGTGCTGAGCTCTCCCGGTTGCTTTAAAAAAAGCAACTGAAGTTCTCCTGGCTCCAGAGTGAGCTCTTTTGGGAGCCGCCGGAAGGGACCCGACCAGGCACGCTCCCCCACGCGCACACTCGGGTGCTGCATGCGTGTTCTCACGCGCAGGCACGTACGTGTGCGAGCACACACACCTGGGGGAAGAGCTTCAACGGCTCCGGCTGTTAACGGCCCTCCCAGTGCTACAACTGCCCGGGATTAATGTGATGAATTTTAAAGTCTAGAGGCGTCGACTAGGGAATCCGTCCTTTGAATCTCAAGTGTTCCAGAGTCTGAGCTATCGTGGTGCTGTATCTTCTGATACTCGCCTCTCCTCCCTCATAAGTAGCAGTCTCCTTTTGAGTTGTCAGAAAAGGTAATCCAAACGTCATTTCATAAGGAGATATCCCTAAAGCCCATCTGGGTTGTGTTCGAACTCGTAAAAATGCTAAAGGCAAACACTTTACCCAGGACATTTGGGTCTCAATCATTAGTTTAGTTAACGTTTGTTTCAAGGTTTGATTAATTTTTCCACTCCTCCCGAGCTTTGAGGATGCCGTGGGGCGTCCAATTCCCATTTTATCCCCAAGGCGCGGGTTACTTTGGAAGACTAGTGTGAAACAATTCACTCATGTTTAGTGGGGCCACTACATTCCACAGACTTACAACATAAACATTGTTCTCTTTCTACAACCTAAGTTAAGATAAAAAGTACTTTATGTTTTCCAGGCACCAGCTTTTCTTATATCAATCCCCGCCACCCCCCACCCCCCCCACCCCCCCCACCCCTCCCCCGGGTCTTTCTTTTACGAATTCTTTTGCTATGTGACTCCGTTTCGCTCAAGAGTTCTGGCCCTTTTTAACTTGTTGTCTAATCTTGTGTCTTTAGCGAGCTTTGTGTCTGTTACTGTAAACTGGTACAGTTATCCCCACATAACCACACCTATGATTTGCGAAAGCCAATACATCTATGTGTTTATCACGTTTGCGTGCACACACACAGAGGCTCAGACACACGCATGCGTGCGTCCATCAACTCACAGGACACGGGCAGAACGAACAACCCAACAGTTTTATTGGTGACTTCGAAGAACTTCTATCCTGCTCCATGAATAAGGAGCATCACGCTGGGGTTCAGGGTGCCTGTGGGGCAAGCAAAAGCCATTTCTCTGCTGACACATGGGCACCAGGAACCCCTGACCAGCTTCTGGGATATCTGAAGTGACAGCAAGGACATAACAGCAATGTCACAAAACCCGTTGGAGAGGGAGTTGGAACTGAGTGAGCATTAAGCTCCCTCCCAACCCAAACCACTCGGTGAGTTTATGCTTCTATGAACATCAAGGAAATAAGAGCTGGGAAATAATAGCCGAGAAAATAACAGCAAGGAAATAGCATCTAAGGATATAGCCAAGGAAGCAACATCAAGGAAACCCTCAGCAGTTCCTACATGGAACAAGAGCTGAACTCGGCACCAGCATTGCCAGCAGGAGCCAGGACAAGCTGCTCCCAGCAGCTCTGAACACCTCCAAGCTCCAGTGTGGGGTACCACAATGAGCTCCAAGTCTGGGAAGACATCCTTTGTGCTCGCCAGCACATCCACAGGCATCCGCAGCAGCACCCGGGCCCCATGAGCACTGTGGGAGCAACCCCCCCCCCGCCCCTGTGCTCTCCAGCCCCAGGGTTTGGCTGGCAGCGCTCTGGCAAACGAGTCTTTGGCTCACCTTGAAACAGCACTGCACCAGGAGAGCAACGGACGTGATGAGGGTCAGTAACAGCGAGAGCGCCAGCACCGGCGGCAGCCAGCGGTCAAAGGTGTGATTGGCCATCTCCTGGGAGAAAAGGAGAGTGCATCAGGGAGGAGAGGAGCGGGGAGGGAAGGGAGGCCCCTTCCATACCCCACTGCCCAGACACACACATGCAGCCATGCCCCGTTCTCTCCTACCGTCTCTGCAGATTCACTGCCCATCTCCCCGGCCTGGACTTGGGCATGGGGACGAGAGGTGCCGGCATCCTCCTCCCGCACACACTGCTCAAGGAGGTCAGAGGGCTCCGGGTCATGCTGCCTCTCACTCAGCAGCTTCAGGAGCAGCTCCGTCCTCGAGACCATCTCGGCGCAGGCCTGCTGGAGCTGGGGCAGGCCACAGTCCTCGCGCAGGGCTCGAGCCACCTGTGCCATGAACCTGCGCAGGGCTCCATCTGGCACCAGAGAGTGCAGGTGGCGGCTGAGCAGGGTGTCAAAGGGGGGTCCTCGCGTGGCCGCGCCACCCGGGGCGCTGGAGCTGCCCTGTGCCGTTGGGCTCGGGGGTTCCTGCTCCTTGTGATGCTCCTTGGGCTGCTGTGTGGTGGTGCTTGCAGGGGCAGTGGGTGGTCTCCCGCCTAGAGAGGAATGCTCTGCTGCAGCCGTGTCCTCTGGTGTGCTGCTGGCAGCAGGGGGGCCGTTTTTAGCCAGCAGAGCATAGAAGAAATGCTGGATAGTGCTCAGTCTCTGCTCTGCTCTACCCTCTGCTGCTGCGGGCTCTTCTTCTGCACCCTCGCTGCCCACTGTCCCATCGCTGTCCTGCTGCTTCTGCTCCTCATCTGTCCCAGCAGAGTCCTGTGTTGGGGATGGTGCTTCCTCCTCATCTTCTGCACTATCCTCATTCTCCATCCTATCAGGCGTGTTGGTCTGCCCCATGGCGTCGGAATGATCCTGACTCTCGCCAGACCGGTCGAGATTTGGGTCCTCTGTTGGGTATTGTGCAGGGGGCTGTGCTGCAGGAGGGCTGGGTGTTCTCTGGTGACTAGAGACTGGGAGGACGTCGCTGAGGTTCATGCTCCGCACTGCTTCCCGTAAGATGGACTCTGCGCGGGTCAAGCCTAAGCCCGGCTCCTGTTTCTGCCAGTGTATGGCTCTTCCTCCCTCCCCTACTGCCACCTCGTGCCCCTTGTCCCTCTGCGCTGGCCGGGCTGTGCTGGGGCTTTTCACAGTCAGGATGCTCATGGCCTTGTGCAGCTTGTTCTTTAGCTGTGCCACGAGCCCCTCTGCTAGGAAATAGAGCCTCCTGGTGTCGATAGAGCCGCTCCAGCCCCTGTGCTGAATGCTCCGCAGCATCAGCGTCAGCTCCTTGGCGATGTTGCCCTCCTGCCTCGAGAGCTGCTGAGGGGAAGGTGCTGATGCATCGGGGCTGCTCAGGCTCCGGGCAACTGTGAGCGTGACGGTTCTCTGCTCCCTGAGTGAAGGCTCCTTAGGCTGGAGATTCAACACGGACCTGCTGTTCCCTTTCTTGGGGGGCACCGGTCCCATTAGGAGCCCTGGTGTCTCTGCCAGGGGAGCTGTAACACACCAAGAGCACTTCAGTGACAAAGAGCTTTCTGCCAGACAAAGGCTCAGAAGGTTCACTATAGCTGGGGGACATGGGCAGGGCTGTGGGCCAGTTACCGCAGCGGGGAACAGTGCTGTTGCACACGCTCATGCAGTCGAAGCTGAGGGTCCTGCACGGGGTCACAGTGCTGTGCTTGTGCTGGCAGAGGCAGCAGGCCGTGTCGATGGACAGCTTGCTAAAGAACAGAGGTTGTGCACAAACACTCAGCATCGCGACCCAGGGCAGCGACTCCAACCCAGGTGGCGCACAGAAACGCCTCAGGGTCTGCTTCAGTGTCTGCTGCAGCTCTGAGAAACTTCCCCTCGCTCCCTGTGTCCCAATGGACACTTTTGTGCTGCTGGGTTTGTTCCCCACACAGACCCTCTGTCCCAGCAGCTGGGATCTGCTGGAGGTGGGAGCCAGCCACCGCACACTCACAGTGTTTCCAAGCGGGATGTTCTCAGGAGCAGCATGAGCAGCGTCTGCCGAGTCACTCGTGTGGCACCCAGGTCCCTGCAAGGGTTTCAAGAAACACATTACATTTGAGGTGGCGGCACCAGCCTCTGCTCCGGGAACAAGCCCAGTCCCTGCGGCTTGCTGTGCCGGCCGCAGGGGGGGATCTGCTGCTACCTAATCCAGGAGAAAAGACGGAAAACCGTCTCTCTTTCCTGCTGTGCCCTGCTCCCACCCATGGGTCTGAACCAGAAGGGATCCTGCAGATCCCATGGGAGATGGATGCAGACAAGTTCGAGTCCGTGTCCCAGCACCGTGCTGGCTTTGCAGACGGGACACACCAGGACTGCTCAGCCTTTGCCTGGCTCTGCCGCTGCCTCCAGCAGGAGAAGGGTGGGAGAAGGGTGGGATTTGCTGCTGGATCTCTGCTTTCCTGGCCATGGGGCACCCAGAGACACAAAGAAAGATCCACGGTAAGCCGTTAACAAGGAGTCCGTACTTACAGGTGAGTGACTGAAGGCAGCTTGAAGAACCACGTGTCCTCGATAACAGACAGGGGGTTATGGCGCAGGACCCTGAAATGAACCAACACCCCATGTGAGCGGGGGGTGCAGGATGAGAGCGGTGGCAGGGGCTCAGTGCTGCGTGTGTGAGGAAGGGCCTGGGGTGAAGGTTCCGAGCCTGAGCTGAAGGTTACAAGCTGGGGTAGATGCTGATGGGCAGATTCACAACATACATCAGGTCCTGACTATCTCCAGCCCAGAGAGCGAAAGCCCAGAAGTGCTGCTTCTGGAAAACACAACATCTCTTTCTTTCCTCCTCAGCTCACACTTTCTGGTGGCTTCCCTCCAACAGGACTTTCCCTATTTCTCACATTCCCACTGTCCCTGAGCGTTGTCTCTGGTCCTGCACCCAGCCAGGCAAAGGCGTGGCCTGACAGAGTTGTCATTCAGCATTGATGCTGCTGCCTACTGGGGGTAAGAGGTAAGCAGAACACAGTGACAAGTGCCACTGCTCTGAGCTACCCTTAGACCTTGGAACACTCACAGCGTCTGGAGGAACTGCATCCCGTGCCATGCCCGGAAGGTGTCGCTCCGGATCTGAGTGATGAGATTTCCCTCCAGGCTTCTGGGGAAACAGGAGACCGCAGAAATGAATTGGGTCTGAGCCACAGGAAGCTGGAGAGAAGCAGCACTGATTTGTAGGAAACAGCCCCATCCAAGGTGGAACTGGGGGGAAACTGCCATTTTCTCTCCTGCTGTTTGTTAACCTGTCCAGGAGAGGAGATGAAGTGCATGCGTGCTGCATCTCTGCCTGCTCCAGGACACAGCAAGACTCAAGACACAGCTTCTATTCCTGCTGTGTTTGCAGAAGCCATGGCCCCATCCTGGCATGGCCACCAGCCACTCCCTGAGCTCCTGAGCTCGGCTGCTCCTTCAGCAGGAGAAACCGGAGGCCTTCTTCTAAAAATAACTGGAGCTTTTTCCAGCACCAGAAGGTTCTAAATGCAACCAGGCTTCACCAACCACACCAGGAAGGAACTCCCATAACTCACATGGTCTCCAGGAAAGGAAGGTTCTCAAAAGCACACGCCTCGATCAACTGGATTTTGTTGTAAGATAAATCCCTGTTAACAGGAGAACACAAAACGCTGGTGACATTTGCCCTGTCCCGGTTCCTCTCAGGTGCTTTGACATTGGCGGCACAGACGTGCCATCGCTCTCATTTCACGTGGGGTTTCTCTCCTGCACTGGCTTGCAGTGGTGTGTAACCGGAGGTCACGCTCCTGACGGGGGTGGCTGCAGCTCAGAGAGGTTCTCCCAGCTCTGATCCCACCAGGGGTATTTCAGGGCTGATTTTCCTCTGGTAACAGAGCAGGTCCTTTATGCACGCCCCAAGAGCACCTCTTGAGTGAGGCCTCAGGGACAGGCTGTAACGCCCTGTGTGACCAACATGGGGCTATTGCCCTTAGCTGCTAAACGTCACCTCCCTGCGCAGCCCTGCTCTGATGTGCGCAGGAGTCCTCTGGCCTGGCTCTAGAAACCAAAAGGTTCCTTGTCCCAGCCTGAACTCGCTGCCTGGGGGGCTTGTTCTGCAGCAAACAAGGAGAGAAGAACCTTTGTGGGGAGCGTTTCATGGCCTGCTCAGCCAGAGTCCCCACCCCATCGTGAGGGTGAATGGAAAGTGCCTGCTCCTCTCCACAGGCGATGAAGCTGCACCATGAGCTCACTCCAAGGCAGCTCTGGGGCATCCGAGCTGAGAGGAGACGAATGCACAAGGTTTGCCCTGGAGGAGGCGGCCTCGTGCAGGTCTGTGCAGGGAAAGGGCAGCAGCCACCTGCTCCTGCTCGGCCGTGGGGCAATGGGAGTGCAGCGCGTCCCTGCGGAGCCCGCCCCTGCACCAAGAACCTGCTCTGCTCTGGCTGCAGCCGGGATACCCGCAGGAATAAAGCCCTTCCTGGGGCGGACTGTAGAGCAGCAGGGCCAGGGCAGGGGGGAGGCCGTGCCCACCACCATGGACAGGGGGGTACTTACAGGTGCCTCAGCAGGAGCAGTCCCCCCAGCGAGCGCCTCTTCACGGCCAGCAGGTTGTTGTGCTGGAGGACTCTGCAAGAGACAGACGAACACGAACGGTGGCACCCGCGGCTCTCGGGTGCAATGGAGCTGTTAGGGGAGCAACCCTGCAGCAGTGTCACTGCGGCATCTCTCCGGGTCCCGCCACGACTCATCACGCTCATGGCAGGAGCAGGGGCTTGCTCCCAGCCTGCTGACCCTGACTGCAGCCCGAGCACGGGTTCCACAGGCCCAGGGATGGCCCCGGTTGGCAGGAGGTACACAGCCCAGGGCCCTGCTCGCCACGGAACAGCTCTGGGGACTCACACAGCTCCTTGCTGAGCAGCTCGGCCTTGGCTGCACGTGGCAAGCACTGGTGCGGTGCTCGGCACAGCCTCGGCTCGGCAGCCCGGCGGAGGGATGGGGATCCCGGAACCCCTGTGCCATGTCCGATACTGGTGGATACTCACAGCTTCTCAGCCCACAGGTATCCCTTCCACGGCTGAGGGCGAATGAGGGCGAGCGCGTTCCCAGTGAAATCCCTGCGGAGAAGCCATTGGCAGCGTCACCCCCAGCACAAACCCTTCCCCTGCCCCAGGGCTGCGGGGTGGCCGTGAGGCCGGCCTGGAGCTGCCCCCTCGGCGCTGCCCATCAGCCCTCCACAGGCAGCGTGTCCCTGGAGCCGCTCTCGGGGTGTCCGGGGCAGCGCCCGGAGCTGCAGGGCACTCACAGCACGGAGAAGGGCCGTTGGGGGGTGGCCAGGGGCACGCGGGCCAGGGCAGCGCTGCTGCAGTCCAGGCGGCGCCCGCGGCAGCGGCAGGGCCCCGGGCAGGGCCCCAGGGGCCGGGCCAGGCCGGGGGCCAGGCCCAGCAGCAGCAGCACCAGCAGCAGCGGTGCCATAGCGACACAGGGCCTGAGCGCCTTTGGTACCACACGAGGCTCAAGGCTGGGGATCCAAACCAGGAGCTCTCGTCTGCGACCAGCAGCGGATCTGGCGCTGTGCTGGCCCTGCTGGGCAGATACAGCCCGGGACACCTCACACCTCACAATGGGGCCTCGCCGCAGGAGTTTCATCGGCCGGGCCTGCGAGCGTGCGTCCCCACTGTGACATGGGACAATCCCCTGCCGTTGGAGCTGGTCGCTCTGCCCCACCTGGGGCGTGTTACAGACCAGCACATCTACGCGTGCAGCACGTGTGCGTTCAGTACGTGTTTGTGCAGTCTGTGCGCGTCTGCCACACGTGTGTGCTGGGTGCTCTCTGAAGGCAAGGGAAATCGGCTCGTCCCAGAACGATGTGTCCTCACTGGAAAAGCTTGACTCGGATCTGGCATCACTGAAATGACAGCAGGGACGTAACAGCAATGACATAACAGCCGTTGGGGAGGGGGTTGGAACTGCATGAACTGAAGGCGGGGCCTTCATCGCCTCCTTCGCACTTACGACCACCTTGTACAAGCCTGACACCTCACCAGCAGTGGACTGAGCCAGGGCCACCTCCCCGCGGGGCAGGGATAGGAGCGGTGGGAAGCAGGCATGGGGCAGGGAGCAGGCAGAGAGGCGGAGCTGTTGCCTGCTCCTGCCCGTACCTCATCCTCGTCCCTGTCTGTGTCCTTGCTCCTGCTGCACCACTTGGGCCAGACTCAGGGGCTAAGACTCAGAGGCTGAGACTCTGTGGCTGAAACGGTGGCTGAGACTCTGGGCCTCAGGCTTTGGAGCTGATACTCTCAGACTCAGACTCTGCGGCTGAGACTGCTGCTGAAAGTCTATGGCTAACACTCTGGGGTTCAGACTTTGGGGCTCAGACTGGGGCTGAGACTCTGTGGCTCTGACTCTGGGTCTCAGACTTTGAATGTCAGACTCTGTGACAGAGACTGTAATATAGACTCTGTGGCTGAGACTGTAGCTGAGACTCTGGTGCTCAGGTTTTGGAGCTGAGACTCTCAGCCTCAGACCCTGTGGCTGAGACTGTTGCTGAGACCGTGGGGCTGGGTCTCTGGGGCTGAGACTGTGGGGATGAGACTCTGTGGCTGAGACTGTGGGGCTAAGACTGTGGGGCTGTGTGGGGGTCGGAATGTATCAAAACTGTCAGAGACCATGGGAAGGAGGAACTACAGCAGGCAATTAAGAGCGAGCCGTCCCTGACTGGTACTTGGAAGTTGTTGGAACTGGCAAGGAACGAGGATGTCAGAACTGGAAAGAGGGGAGTGCGCATGCTTTTGGAGGAGCAACCCCCATGCACCTCAGCTGAATAAAGCATACCTACTTTACAACTCTAAGGAGTTGGAGTCAATCCACGTATCACTTTCACCTGATGTAACCGCAAGGCAAACACAGATGTGCTCTGCTAATTGCTTGGAAGCATATAAATATTGTGTAAGCTTTGCAATAAACGATCCAGCTTGCACTCTACCTCTGGGTCCGTGCCTCCGTCCTCACAGGGCTGAGACTGTGGTGGTCAGATTTTGGAACATACTCTGGCTGAGACTCACAAATGAGGACTCTGGCACTGAGACTCGGGCTACGACTGTAGGTCTGAGACTCGGGCTAAGACTCTTGGGCTGGGACTGTGGGGCTGAGACTGTGGGGCTGAGACTCTGGGCCTCAGACTTAGGAGCTGAACACTGTCCTGGGTTCAGCAGTAGCAGTCACTTTTTCTCCTTAGTAGCTGGTGCAGCGCTGTGTTTTTGACTTTCAGCCTGGGAGCAGTAATGCAAAAAGATTTAACCAATGTACAGGAAGGGGTAGTGTTAAGCCGCTTGCTTAACGATGTTAATGCTTGCCCATACTCCACAAACATTTTTCATGCTCATTATGCTGTGCTAGAACAGGATGGGAGGACACGGCTACTGGTAAGAGGAAGGAACAGTAACCTGGCTCCTGCTTTCTGGGTCCTGAAACCGGCTAGAGCCAGCTTTGTGGTTTGGACAATGACCAAGTCACCAGGGAGCATGAGCAACTATTAGAGGTAGAAAGTTTAAGCAGAGGAAGAGTCATTGACTTCATCTTGAGACCCTCACCCACGACCACCGGGAGTTACTGCGCAGCCGCAAAGGACCTTTTAGCTCATTATAATACGAAGCAGGGATAGGACATGAATATGTATAGGCATGTTGTGTAACCTAATACGTACGTATAATTTTAGAGAATAAATAAGGGGAGAAACGAGGTTGCAGCGGGCATGCCTTTGGAGGAACGATCCCCCATGCGTCTCAGCGCTGAATAAAGCATACCTACTTTACAAGTTTAACGAGTTGTGGAGTCTATCCCATTATCACTTTGGTGAGCCAGGCAGGAGACATCTGTTCAGCTGAAGGATCAGCTTAGGGGAGACATCCTAGGCACCCCAGGCAGCTTGCCTGGAGGAGCTCCGCTTTTCATCCGCTCACTGCGGGGGCAGACAACAACCTGTGCCGGCTGCGGAGAAACGGTATGCGTGGGATTTAGGTTTGTAATTTAGAGGGCCTATAAGTCGTACGCTTGGCCTGGGGCTGCTGGTAAGGCACGCAGAGACATCTGGCGCGCAGCGTAGTTCCCCTTGGCAGATGGGGCTTGCAAGCAGGTTGGGGACTCGTCGACCGATAGAGCGGCTGCTAGCGATCCTGAAGGTGGATCGGGTGAGTCCAGGGACTCGTTGGCCGATAGGGCAGCGTAACCAGGCGAGAACTGGGAGGGCTTATAGTTGAAGTGGGATAAGCTTTCCCTGCTGACAGCCTCCCTGGGGAGTTCTTGACTTCCTGTCTAGCCCTGTGCTGGTGGCAGGACCTGGTATCACACCATCCTCAACAGTCACTCCCAGCTTCTTTCCACCATGGATCCTGAAGCTGGCAGCTTTCTTTGGGCTCCTCTTCTCTCCTGTGAGGAGCAAGGGTGCACAGGCACTTTGATAACCAGGGGGATGTTTCTCTAAGCTCGATAATTTTGCCACCTTCCCTCCCTCCTCTGTGAAGTTGCTCTTGGTCACACTCCAGCACTTGAGACATGAGCCACGAGCCACAGCGATGAGCCAGCCAGAGCTACAAGTCCTGTGCTGAAGCTGAGCACAGCTGTTGATTTTTCACCCTGGGGCTGGTATGCAGAGAACCTTACAGCATCTCTTCTCTCCCCATTCACGGCAGGTTCGGGCGGATGGGACAAATGGAAACTGAGTCACGTCTGTTTTTCCCGATGGGGACCACACGCTTGGCAATGCCCTCCACTACATGGTTGTGAGGTAAGTGGAGTCACTACAGCCCCTGGTACCACTGGAGGTTCCTCTGTCTCCTGTTCTGCCCTTCTTCACTAAGTTGCATCTCAGTTGCTGCTGGAACAAGGCAAAACTACCTCTGTGCATGCTTGTTGGAGAATTTATATCAGAGCTCATGCCAGAGGCTCCTTACCTACCCCCTCCCTTAACAGGATTCACTTTCTCCTTGTGCTGTTAGCCCTGAGAGCGCTAATAGGCCTTGATGAGTATGAACAGCCTCACCTGGGGCCTCCACACACACCCTGCCCACAGGCTCAGGAACCCCATTTAAGCTTTCAGTCCCTCCTGGGCTGTGTTGTATCTATATGGGTCTTCAGCTCAGCTGTTGGATGCTGACCCATGGGCTGACTTCCTGACCCAACATCAGCCTCTCCTCAATGTTGTACATTGTACATCTGCTTGGTGCTCATAGGTTTTGTCTGACCCTCTTTACCCTCACCCGACCTGCAGGTTGTCTTCCTGGCCCGGCCTCGCACCTATTTCACCCCCACAAACCTGCCTGGTGACCTGGACCCTTGGCTGGCCCTGGCTACCACCTTTGCACCTTTGTTCATGCTCCCAGCTCCCCGTCCCGTAAGGAACAGCCAGCCCTCGCTGCTCTGATGGTTAGTAGAGAGGAAATGGAATGGCAGACATGTGACAGATTTCTGAATGTCTTACGTGGCTCTGGGTAAAATGATGTGCAACTCTGTAAGTACAGGTGGTCAGGCAGTACCTATGTCGCCTTCTGGGGCAAGTGCTGTCAGAAAAGAGGGTAGGAACAGCCAGTATTAAGCAAATTGATCCCCTTTAATGCTTCCATCAAGATGCAGGAATTGGTGCTGGAAATTAGTAATCCTGCTGCCCCCATTAAAATATACAAATGCCTTCACTGGTTTTATCCAGCTGGGAGGCACTGGGGGTTTGTGAAGACTCACTGGGAAGGCTCAGAAG